AGTCTCACGTCCAGATCAGCAGACCACGCCGCCTTTGACTTCGGATGAGATTGCAGGCTCACGCGACGCGAACGAGACTACTGTCTCACGTTCCGGTCGCCGAGTACGGTAGCCCGTACGCTTTCGTGACTAGCCGCACAGTCAACAATCGATACGGTGTAGGATTATTCCTATACTACACGCATGCTACACTCTTCTTTTTTTGATTTCTTTTTGTTTCCTGAGCCCTCGCCTTCGACCATCTCCGTTTGGTTCCGTCGACTTCAGTCAACTTTGGCGAAAGCTGGACTGGCCACCCACGCTCTTGTCAACGCACTCAGTCGATATATTGGTTTCGAATGTTTGGCATACGTTTGGTCTCGAACCTGGTCGTTGCGGTCGCTTTTGGTTTTTTGGCTCAACGTGGTTTCGTCCTACGTCTGCAGCGTTTCTGGTCCGGATTCCCTACGAACGCCATCTTCAGATTCTGGATACAAACCACTCGTGTAGCATGCCAACTCAAGCAACAAGTACAGCACATCGATCCTGGTACTGTTCTCCGAAAATAACCTTCGTTGGCAACTCGACGATCAACAATCGCTTTCCTGTTCGCCAATCCGTTCGTCCTACAAACGATCAGTCCCACGATTTAAACCGTTATTAATCGAAAGTGTAAACCCTTTCTAGCGGGGGGCTCCTGTAGTGACTCACGTTTATTACGAGAACACGACTGGTTCAATAAAAACAATTCTTATTATAAACAGTTGTACCAGTGTTTATTTTAATGTGCTTTTGTTTGACTGTGCTAATGACAGCTATATTGGGCTTCCATTCTTGTTCACACACTTCGATTGTAATTCCGCGCGAATTCGGTTACCTTCTGTAACAAAGCTTGTATCCTGGCACGATCTCGGTATCCTTTCGATACCACGAGATCGCCAGTGAATAAATTTTGACTTGGTCCATTTTCTGCCTTCTGATATTTGGCTTCTCGGGGGTTTTTTATGGAGTCATTTGGAACGAGCTTTTTGGTAGCGGTGTACATAATCAATCTCCAACTCGACGCCACGCTACAAGTGTATACATTGAAATGAATGCGGTTAGCACCAATATCGAAGACTATTGTTGAGAATGACGTGATTTGGCACACATAAAATAAACTGTAATTCGGTAGTCTTCAATCTCGTCGACAGCAGCTCAGAAGTTAGAGTTATTTCCTAAATCCTAACAACCGACTGCATAAACCGGTTTTCAACCCACAGGTCACAAATGTAAAATCAATTCACAAATAGGGTAAGCGATATGTGTATCATTACGCAGCTTTGCTCGAACTAACTCGGTAAATTTTCGCTAATGCAGATGTTCTCACGCAAATCATTGGTATAGACTTAATACAATACAATACAACAATAATAATAGACTGAATACGAAAACCAGTATCGATCGTTACCCATTGCTTCACAAGCACTACTATTTTATCGACAATTAATGTGGCTAAGGCGTATCATCAAATTTCCATGGCTTTGGATGACAGTCCGAAAACCGTTATCATTACCTCATCCAGGCTCTATGAATTTTCGTGCATATCTTTTGGTTTAAGAAATACTGCGTAAAATTTTCAGAGGTTCATGGATGACATCGTTAGAGGTTTTGGCTTCATACATACACATATGGGTAACTGCTTGATAGCATCTTCAGCATCTGCACCTTGTTTTCGGACGACTGCGAAAGCACAGCATTTCTGTGAACACTCAAATATGTCAGATTGGAATCAACTCCCAAGATTTTTCGGACGCACGCTTAAGGCATCTTCCCTCTAGCAAGGTGACCACTCCAGATTACCCTGACAAGTTTTAGTCAAAATTTCGTACCGAATTGTGTGTCCCTCATGAGACCCTTGACAGAATAACTTCGTGGAGATGCGGACCAAAACGCGAAGAAGGCATTTTCTACAGTTACGGAAATTATCGCCAAAGCAACCATGCTTACACAATGGAGAGCCTTAGCACTCATTAATATCTCAGTAAACGGATCCAACTCGGTAATCAGAAGAGTCTTACACCAGTGACCAAACAACACCTGACAATGTTTGACATTCTTCTCGAGACGATTTCAAGGCAATGAATCGAGATAAAGCACTTTCAGTAGAGAACTACTTGTAAGATCCCAACTAAGGTCTGGACTGAAGAATAGCTGTTTTGGTAAATTAGGTACGCGTCCTTGTCCGGATGAAGCCAAAAAAAGTAATTGGGTAAAATGAAGGTTCTATAATTCATCATAAATTTAAATGTATATTGTTACCTAAACAAATATGACCACACAGCTATCCAATCAATAATTGTTCAATTAACCAAAACTTAATTACAATGAATAAGGAAGTTGATAAAGATGAAAGAAAATTACCAATCACAACATATAAATGCTATTCTATCCTGTCTGGATAGACCAGGCACAGATTCGTTCGAAAGGTAATATTCGGTTGCTTTATAACGCAGTGTTTCCAATTCTGGAAGAGTGATTCAATTAACAATCAAAAATGCATAATTCCAGTCAACACAAGTAACGCAATCAAAAGGAGGAACAAACGAATATGGCTGCCGCCAAGACTAAGTATAAATTAAAACAACATAAGTGAAGTTCGGGAAGAAACACGAAAATTTAGTGAAGACGTGTGAAAAATAAAAACTAGATTAAAATACAAATAATAACAACTCAAATGGAATCAAAAAGACTAACAATGTACAACTAAAGGAATCATTAGGACCAACTGTAAGTGTATATATGAAGGGATTTTCATACACGAAACATCCAAAATGGATCTTACACTACTGGCTATGTAATGAGTGTACGGCATTCTCAACACTCCGTGGAAGACCAAGAAACCACTCTGTTTGCCGACTGTAAGCCTCCCTCTCCCCCTTATCTCGTCTCCAAACAAGCACTCTCCTCAAGATCCTTTTAAAGGACTCCCAAAGTCTCTTGGACTAGCTCAACCGGCAGTGAATGACATCTTTGACCACTCTAATGAAGTGAGAGGTGTTCCCACAGTCCTTTCTGCTGTGTTGTGTATCCAGTTTCTGGATGCTAACCCTAGGATTTATGTTGGGCTAAAATTAATTAAGTGTTTAAAGGGATGTTCAGCATGCTATAAGTTTTAGCGGTAAGTAAATCCACAAAATCAATAAGTCTGTGAGTCTTTGACATTTGATGCTGACCACATTCGTTTTAATGAACTCACCTAGCTGAAGGCGCTCGGTCATGCAGATGCATCAGACCACGCGAGGGAACGCTGTGCCCAACTTCTCCTGCAACCACAAACCAGTTTGGATCAGTCTCTTCGGACATACACCACATTTCTGGAGCGGGCGCCTTGTCTCGTATAACTTCCTCGAACAGTTTCCAAGGAATCGATCTTCTTAAACTCGCCCGGCTTCAAACTAAGACACTGATCTTTAGAACGAGTTTTCTTCAGCAACCCTAAAACTGTGTATTAAACAGATGGGAACTGGTAGGGAAACTTTACTAAGTGATACATCTGCAGGTATGGATCGTCGAAATGTCCCAAAACATTGTCGACGCAACATCTTCAATACATTGAACAAACTTTCTCATCCAGGTGTTCATGCAACGATCAAGTTCGTAGCAAGACAGATTTTCTGGCCTGTTACGAATGAAGACGTAATGAAATGAGAGTTCTCATGTGTAAGCTGCCAAGAATATAAGGTGATTAGACAAAAGAAATGTTCCTGGAGTTCTGATACGACTCTCGATGCTTGTTTCGACCATGTTCATCTGGATTTGTTAAGACGTTTGCCAGATCCAGGTAATACTCCTATCTCTTAACTTGCGTAAACCGTTTCACTCGATGATTAGAAGCAGAACTTAACAAGGAAATTACTGCTGAAACAGTGGTCCGCGCCTTCATCGAACGGTGAGTAGGAAAATTCGACTGCCTTTCAATTAACACTACAGACTGTGGAGCCTGTTTGAATCTGGACCTTTCTGTCGTCTGGCTACACTATTAGGAATCGCACGATTCTGAACGGCCGTTTAACACGCACAAGCTGAGGGGTTGGTAGAACGCTTTCAAATACAGCTTAATATTCCACTCTCGGCTGCGAACGTTCTATTGTGGACCGATATTTTTCCACTCCTTTTAATCGGCATTTACACCTTGACGTCCAAGGGAATTCACAGGTCCTTCGTTCTCTTCGATATTTTTGGATCTGAGATCTTACACGAGCAGGGTCTAAACTGGAGATCCATTTCAATAATCTCTTCAGATGGCATACGAAGTACTCTTTAAAGTCATTCATCGTGAACCTATGTACCATATCGTCAGTAGGAAAGAGACTGACGATAACATCAGAATTGTCTGTCTTAAGGCTACCCTATTTAGAATGAAAACCAAATAATGCCGATTTTTCTACTTGACGGTCAAACAGCACGAATTTTACAACTACAATACCCCACCCTATAATGAACAGTCACGAAGAAACTTCGCTGGTATCTGAAATCCAGCCTAATACAACGCGATCTGAAAGAAGGGTAAGGTTTTCAGAACGCTTAAACGACTACTTCACGTAGTACACTGCTTAAAATTTTGTTTTATCTCGGTTCTTTTGTATAATTACGTCAAAAATCCAAAAACAAACACTTTTTCTAATATGCTCACATATATGTGTACTTTTTTTCAAAAAAGTCATTGTGTGAAAGTCGTTTCTACGCTACTGATGCATAGCCATTTTGTGTCCTTGCTCACATACGAATGTATTTTGACATGCATTTACAGTTTTCTTCTTTTCCATGACGGCTGGCAAATATGAAAAACTGGCGAAGAATACAACGGATCAAGACTTTTGCTGTACATTCTTAATTATTATGTTGGCTCATAAATTAAAGAAAGACGACCAGATGCTGCCGGACGTAGCAGGGCTGCAATTAAACGCAACTCAATTTCGTAAATGTGCCCTTCAGCTTAGCAACCAATCAGAATGTGGCGGGAATTATTATATCAGCCATCTTTGTACGTAATGGCGGTCGGCTATCTTCGCTCTGTGCTTCTTTTAGCTATTTCTTTTGTGTAGCTATGTAATTAATGTTTCAGTGTGCTAAGATGCCGCAGTTAGTGTAATGTTCTACATGTTGGTGTGAAATTTACTATGTTGAAGGGCAAAATCTTTTCTCCAGGGCACAACATGGTTTTCGGAAAGGCCTATCTTGCTTGACAAATCTTCTCATTGCACGAGAAGATTGGGCTGCGGCAAAGGATAGGAATACTCCTGTGGATGTGATTTTCATAGATCTAAGTAAAGCCTTTGATAAGGTTTCCCACTCTGGTCTTAAATTCAAACTGAAACGTTTTGGAATCCATTATACAGTAGTCGATTGGATAAGTAACTTTCTCCATGACAGGAGACAAAGGGTAAGGGTTAATGGGACTCTCTCCTCGTGGGTACCTGTAAAAAGTGGGGTTCCCCAAGGTACAATCCTGGGTCCTCTTCTCTTTTTACTTTATGTAAATGAATTGCCAACTGTAGCAAAATCATCCGTTCTACTCTTCGCTGATGACATAAAGATTTGGAGACCCATACATAGTATGTCGGATAGGATAGTATTACAGGACGATCTTAGCTCATTGGTGGCATGGTTAGATAGGTGGTCACTAGAAGTAAATCCTAATAAGAGTGTAGTGATGCAGTTAAATAACTCTGATGAATCGTATGACTATACGCTACGTGGATTCGTGCTACCCAAAGTAAGAAACTATAAGGATTTAGGAGTCATATTAAGCAATGATCTCAAAACGACTGGTCACTGTAAGGCTGCTGCTGCGAAAGGCTATAGGGTATTATGGTCAATTCGTAGGTCTTTCCAGTATTTAGATGATGAAATGTTTAGATTACTATACCCGATTTATGTGCGACCACATTTAGAATACGGGATTCAAGCAGCGTGTCCTTGTTTCAAATATGAAGCAGATATGCTAGAAAGAGTCCAACGACGAGCTACTAAGATGGTACAAGGTCTATCTGGCCTATCTTATGAAGACAGACTGAGACACCTTAACTTATTTCCGTTATCTTACCGTAGAATAAGGGGTGATCTAATATTAGCCTATCGTATACTGAACGATGACCTTGGTATTAACATGTCTTATCTTTTGCTCCCGTCTAGAACCGATCATTTGAGAGGACATTCGAAGAAAGTTCAAAAACCGAGATCAAACCGTTTACGTCTGGAGTTCCGTTTCTCGCACCGAGTAGTGAATTACTGGAATTCTCTACCGGAACACGTAATATCAGCACCATCTGTTAATATATTCAAAACGAGATTGGACCTCCACTGTATTACAAACTGCAAGGATTAATATAGGTCGACAGACCTCCTATCCTTATTACTGAAGACTGAATCAGCATTGTTTTCTGGGTTTTTGCTGCTTCTACTCTAGTCAATGTATTTCTTCAGTCAAGCTGGTTAGTCTTATGTTTTAAAATGAAAATCGGTTTTGTTTTGACTTGTTTTCTAGATATCCAAAGCCGAAGTTCGTTTTTTCTTAGCTGAAATAACTGTTGCTGCCTCCTGTGACTAACTGTCCGCGTGTTCATTCCTAACCGTCCTTTATGATGTTATCGGCAAAATGAAAGGGAACAATTTCCGGTTTTTAATTTTCTTCAGTATTGCGGACAACAATATCCCACCAACGAGTCAAACTAATACTTTGCCTAGCAGTAGGGGATGTCAGTATTGTTTTCGAAAGTACCCAGGCTTCCGACAACCACAGATGCTACCAATCTATTGCAGAGGGTTTGTTATGAAAAAATATGCCACATAGCAGTAATGGAGGGGTTGTACGCATTACGTAGTGCGTTAAAGCAAGCTTAACATTAAAAAGCCGGAAATCTGCTATCAGTGTGTAGTGTATGTTTTGGCCACAAAAGGAAGCCGAAGGGCCATGATCAGGGAGTAAAAAGGTAACTAACTGTTATTAAGCTCAGCTTTTTATAGACCATAATTCACCACTCGCAAATTTGTTATTTTTACAGTATGATGTCAACCGTTATCTAATATGTTCACCTTTACGATGAAAAGTACTTGCAAATTCTCAACTTCATATTCGAATTAATTTGTGACAACTGTCTTCCAGTTTGAGTGCTTCGTACGCCCTGGGAGACTAGATTCCTACGTTATTCACAGTTCCAGTATAACTTTCTCACACAGTAAGTTCAAAGTAAACACTAGTCTTTCTAAATAAGCATGTTAAGCTAATATCCGTATTCTCTATTTCAGATGATCGATGAAGACATGTCCCACGTGCATCTGTTGTATATTGTTATTTTACTCCAATTCTTACTGTTATATCTTCTGAAAAATAAAATTGCTATATGCAGCAAATACAGACTTATTGTTTTGATGGTGGTAGGGGGTTCATGGGTTTTTTATCAGGACTGTAGTAATATTCCCACTAAAGAGCCAAGTGAGTGCGTAGACCAATGTAAAGTACCATACAGGGTGCCTTTGAATTACTCGTGTTCCATTAGTGTCGGTAGAAGCATTACTTGCTTATCATATGACATTTGAATAAGGAGCTATGAGATTAGATGCAGGGACGGTTAGGATGTGTAACGCGTGTCCATCCATCAGTTTTCGTGGCAACTCACGGTGGCTAGAATAAGTTGTGAGAGGACTCGAGCCTGTAGGTTTCCTAAGAAAGTGACGGAGATATGCACCAAATCACCTTATGAAGAGCGCCTCCAATCACTTAACCTCTACTCATTAAAGTATAGACGTCTTAGAGGTGACCTATTTACTTACAGGATCCTTAACACTTCTGGACATTCTCTTAAACACCTATTTGAGCTTAGTCCCAGAAACTAGAGACACGACATAGCAGAATGGACTGTAGACGCAACTTCTACTCCTTAAGAGTTGTCGAATGCTGGAATTCGCTGCCCGCCGAACTAGTCCAAGCGACTTCCCAGGAGTCATTTGGGAGGCGACTGGATCTTTTAGTGTTAACATACCTAGGTTCCTGCTTGGAGGTTTCGGTGATCCCCTGCTACTAGACACGGAAGCCTGAACACATGAATTAGGTGATGAGAGACTCGATTATCACAAGTTTCTTGCAACGATTAAGTAGATAAAACAAAGTAGCATTAGGTTCGAAAATTTATTCGAGAACTTTCATTAAGAATCGAATATGAAACAAAGGTTTAAACCAAGTTCCAGTCTAAAAGTTGCATTCGTAATGTTAAGCTCAAGCTTTTGTTGTTTTTTTTCCAAACGAAAGGGTAAAAGAAGTAACTCAAAAAGTACTGGAAGTGGTCGTGAGACTAAGATGGACATCCAGCATCCTTTTTATAATCTGCTGTTAGTTGGGTCTCCCGTAAACAGATCCATAGGGCCATAGTTTTAAGGGCGAAACAGTTCTTAACATCTGTGAAGACTCAGTCTTGTTGCATTCTAAATGAGAAAACAGTAATGAATTTAGTCAGAAATGTGGAATAGATAAATAACCAAATTACATGTATTTTAGCAAAGAATTTATGCAGTTGTGATTTACCTTCAGTTCATGAATATTAGGTCAGGTCAGCTATTTATTGTGCAAAGCATAACATGGACTTAATACCGTATCTCAATGCTTTTATTATTTTGCTCTCATTTAAGTATTACCATGTATCTGCATCTAGTTTAACAGGGAGACATACAAGCAGATTTAGTGTTTGATGAACTAAAAGTCCTAGTTGTCAAAAACATTCTTAACATTTGTCCACAGCCAACTGCATTTAATTGAAATACAGAACACTCATCTTCTAAGACTGTATACTGCTCTTCTACGGGCAAATAAAAGCTCAGACACTTAGCTATTCTGCTACCGATGTTATTGCTGGGGAAATTGTTTAATGACAGTGATCATGAAATATGGTCAGTGATAGATGTACAATCTAGAAATAAACAGCAAACATACTTATCGCTATCTTATGATGTATGACAGCAACAGTACCAAAAGCACTTTTTTCCTATTTTTAATCAGACTGATTTGAATCAGTATACTCATCAGAAACAGGCAACTCTACTTACTAGGCTGATCTGTTTCGTTACAGACTTCAAGCACTATACCATAATTCTTTCAACTAAACTGAATTATACGACAACCAAGAATACTAAACTAAGCAAGTGTCATAGTTATTGTTTCATTTGCACAGGCATATTGCTTAAAGTAGTTAAATGGACATAATTAAGACGATAAAACAAAAACACGAAATATAGGCCAATTGAACTTACCGAACAGAAGACAAAGAATATATATATTGCTTTCCGACTGAAAACAACAGGTAGTTGTTCATAAAAACATAGTTTATAGTACAATAAACCTTTCTACAGTAAAACCATGCACTGAAAGTCTATCTGGAAACAATCAACTATGTGAATAAACTCACTATAACTTGAGATATCATCCCAGCATGCAATGGACGTGCAGTGTAACGCAGTCGAACGTGGCGAATAAAAATATAAAAAAAGATCAAAATTAGCTATATAATCTAGTTATTTAATTAAAAATACATTATGAAATGTCAAAATCTGTGGTTACTTGAACGCACAGATGACCGGTACATTAAGTTTACATGGTTGCGTTGCGGATAAGATCACCCACGTAGCAGGCTATCAAAGTGTTTACCAATGGCAAACTCGTAAGTTATAAACGTCTGGCTGGCCACAACTTGCAGTTACCACCATCCCACAGGTGGGGAGCAATGAGTTGTAGTGGTGAATAAATTCCTAAAGCAAATAGCTCTGTATGTCTCTGATATTGGTGCTAACCGCATTCATTTCAATGTATACACTCTAGCTGAAGGTGTTCGGCCACGCATTCTTACTAGATCACGAGTGGGTGCGCCATGCTACGCAACCTTCGCAACTGTTAGCCAGCCTAGACTAAACGCTTTGATACCTATCGATAGTCTTCCAAACATATCTTCGAACCCCTTTATTTCTGACTTCTGGTTTGACCAGGTTGGCATACTTCGATTATAAAGGTGTTACGTACAAAGGTGCTGTCAAAACCTCAATACACGTGGCATCGTTACATTGACTTCAGGCATTTTAGGCACAGAGTGCTTGCCGTGAATTATGCACTTAAGCTTGTTGAAACGAAGGAGAGGAGAAATTGATATGATTTTTTTAACCCAACAAGAAGTGGTTTACTTTTTGCTGATTTTTAAGAAGTGAGGTTACACCACACCGACAGCAGTAAGACCAAACTTACTTACGACCTTAGGGCGGCGCCTCAGCGAACCTGAGAAAATTTACCTGCTTACTAAGGTCTAAAGAGGGTTATGAACTAGTTTGCGGAATTATGGTTAAAATTTAGAGTTAGAAGATAGGGTTGGAAATAAAATTGAGTGCTTGCATCACCAAATGGCACCAGTTTTAATGTCAAAGTGATATATTTTTATACGGATGGATGAATTTAGCTCTAAGATAAACGATTTCCTACCTTTAATTTCACTGTTTCGTGCATAAGTTATAGTCACATCTGAATAACTTCATTTGTTATGTTTGAACTTTTAACTGCACATAGTTTCTACATTCTTTTAATATCATGTTGCTTTCCACTAATGCTTTTTCCTAACTGGAGAAGTATGCAAACAAGATGATAAAATGGCAGTTTAGAAGGATCTGACTGAAATTTAAAGTTGGGAAGACGACAAAGGAATTACATATAGCACTTCAAATTGTAAGGTAGTTCATCTGAGGGCTGTTGCAGACCACGAATGCGACTTAGGCACCTCTGCTCTAGGAGTATCCCAAGTCAAAAACATCTAGGGGTATTGGTAACCTACAATATGAAGGCTAAATGCAACAACAGTGCCTTCCGAGAAAAATGTGCACTGGTATCGTTGAAATGCATCTTTGACCAGCTCGACGGGAGAACTTTCCATATAACCTTCAACAGTTTTATTTGCTCTCACTTAGAGTACGGAAACATAGTATATCCTCACTCATGATAAGAGGATACGGTTATATCGGAACGTATTAAAAGGAGAGCCATGAAATCAGTTAGTGGACTCAAAGTCAAGTGTTTTGAGGGGCGCTTCGAATATTTGAATTTTTAATCATCTGAGTAAAGTCGTCTTAGAGGTGACCTTCTAATGACTCATAGCATCCTAAGCACTCCTGTCCACTTAATTAGGCTCATCCTAACATCAAAACCTAGGGGTAGCATCCAGAAACTAAGTACACAACACAGCAGAAAGGATTGTGAACATGCTTGTTACTTTATTAGAGTAGTCAAATTTTGAAATCTACTGCCGGTTGAGCTAGTCCAAGAGATTTTTTAGGAGTCCTCTAAAAGAAAAATCGACATAATCTTAAGGACTAAGGACAATATCTCACCATTATTTACTAGTATTTTTTTCTATTTCCTCTCTATCGTTAACACACCGAGATGCTTACCTGGAGGTATCGATGATCCACCGATTTTAGATACGTCCAGAGCCATTTGAACCGTTTGAATCTTCCGTTTCGTAGGTCTGAAGGTCATCCGTGAGATTGATGTCTTTGGCATCAACACGATTTACTAGGTTAAACACTGGTACGTCGAGGTTTTTTCGATCCTGTCGATCCAAGTGATAAGGCTGATCTGTGTGCAAAGTTTCATCTATTTTAAGAAAGTAGTTGTGGTCTAGATAATTATTGGTAATATTGAGGTATCAGTCATAAATCGTCCTAAGCGACAACTGTCATCCTTAAGGATGTTTATCCTCGATTAAGAAATAAAATAAAATAAGAACTAGCAGTTGGTTTCAAGCATATATGGTACTTATTTGGAATTCCAAATTTCATTCTCAGTGAAATACTGAGTCATACAAACGCACACGTGTGTATCGGCTGCACTACGTTGGCATACAGAGTTGAAATTACCAAGACAGAACCTAGAGTGATAGAAGTAGTAACAGTATCGGTACTAGTTATAATAAAAGTTAAGTATAAAAAAGAATTTAGGGACATTTCGGGACTTAGGGTCTAGGGAAAAACAGGCTGAACAGACTAGTGTCATTGTGAAAATTTGGCGAGACTCTAGCTGAACGACGAGCCAATCAGAAACGTTTGAGCAATTTCAAATATTAGCCAATCAGAAGACAGTATAAAGTAAAAATATATTACAAGAAAGTAATGAATTACAGTGGATATTCTTCTTTCACATGATTTAATAAATTGTCAAGGTTTGATAAAGGCTTAGAAGTTCTTAATTCATGATGCATATGGTCTAGAAACTCGTCCATAGGGTTAGGGTTTGAGGTTAGGGTTAAGGTTGGGTTTAGGGTGCTAACATGCGATCGTTTTACAGCGGATCTTAGAGAAGAGGTGTTTACCCTAACCCTAAAAC